GGTTGCTGTGGGGGGGGGGGGGGGGTTGCCATTGGGGGGGCGGGCCGCCCCCTAAAATAATGGCAGGGGAAACACTGTACTGTAAAAAAAAATAATAATAATTTTACTAAATTTTACTGTTTTATTTGACAGGTTTTCACGTATTTTTGAAATACAGTTAAAAATGTTACAATTTGAGAAATTAGTCTTGAAAGTTTGTTAACACGGGGATTCGCATGTAAATGGTAAACAACAAAAACAGCTCCTATCATGACGTTTCAGTCAAATATAGAACGTGCTGTTTATTTTTTTAAAATAATACATACTTTTACTCATAGGCGCTTATCCAGATATGCGCTATTAACCAAGTCATAGCTCAGTGTGTGTCCATAATCTCCATGTCCATTTCTTATAGAAGCTGTCAATATGCTTTAAGTAAATTACTTTCCGTTTTTGTAACTGATCGGGAGAAATGTGAATTATTCGTTGGATTTTAACTAATCGTTAGGCTAAGTAAGAATGTCAAACTGTTTTAAGTTATTTATGTAGAGCTGAATAAAAAAAGTAGGCTATGCGTTTCTAGCCAATCGTAATTTAAATCTTAATATTTTTCTTAGAAGCTGTCAATATGCTTTATGTAAATTACTTTCCGTTTTTGTAACTGATCGGGAGAAATGTGAATTATTCGTTGGATTTTAACTAATCGTTAGGCTAAGTAAGAATGTCAAAATGTTTTAAGTTATGTAGAGCTGAATAAAAAAAGTAGGCTATGCGTTTCTAGCCAATCGTAATTTAAATCTTAATATTTTTCAAGGGAACAAGAGCCTTCAAAATCTCATATTATACGCTGCTGTGTCTCTACATTTTGAATTGAACTTTTTTTTTAAAACATAATTATATTTTCCAATATTGCTTGATCTAATCTAAATTGAAAACCGTTTATGAATGAATGCATGAAAGTATTTTATATGCAATGACATATAAACAGCAACCCCACAGATATTTGGCATTCACAAAAATGAAGGGGATGTAGATGCACTGTTTCTGTACATGGTACTGCTAATGTCTTGACACAAGTTACACACATTGTTATTGTAACTGGAGGTAATAGACTATATTAAAGTCTGATTTAAAGGATGCATTTAGTAATTACCCTAACCCTAACGCTGGTCGAGGAATAGCGTCAATTTTTAAAAATAAGTGGAAATGTTGATTAATCCCTGCTGAGAGTTACTAGAGTTTTGAGGTGCAATAATTTTTAATTGAAGGCCACTGCAGAACTGGACACTTATCTTGCCATTATTTCAGATCTTGCTACCCCTACAGCCGTACCCTCTTTTACGAGTACCATAAATCTTTCTCTGCGAAATCTGCCATGTATATTCAACGATTCAGTCAAAGACAATGTCTGTAGACATTGTCTTGCTCTTTATGCGGTTCTTTTACACACAAATACTCTAAACGCTAAACCCACTACTTCATCTGGCTGCTTACCAAAAGAAGATGGTGAAGAAAAGGCTACCCCTATGATTCATACTCCCATTAGGCTTGCTGCGATAGCCGGTGTTGACGGTGTTACCGGTGTTAAGCCGCAGCACCGGTTACGTCACTTGCCCGCCGTGGCACCGCCCACCCCCTTCATTTTTATTTTTTATAGTAATAAAAATAATTTAGTTCAGTTGAAGAACAGACACTACCATTAAAAAATGTTGCATCACAGATCAACAGCTGCAGTCAGATTTTATTTATCACGTGAGGAGAGTCGAGCTGACCGACGAGAAGAGTGAGGTGAGAAAGACAAGATGATGGCGGAAGATTTAGTTTCGAAACGAGATGCAAAAGCGCCTGTTTGGCAATATTTTGGATTTTGAAAAGCCTGTTGAATTTTGCCGCTTTTCAAAGGTGATTTTGGAAGTTTTTTAAACATTAGTTTCTTATTTATTTGGTTTATTTGGTGTTTGCTGATTTTTACTTTATTTAAACTTTGTGTAATTAGTTTATTTTATTTTACATCAAGGTGTATGCCGTGCTTCTGAGCTTTCTTATTCATTTTGCCAATAAATGTTCTATGTTTCTTACTTATTTGGTTCCACTGATTTTTTTTGTTGTTGTTATAATTAAAATAATAATAAAATGTTATAGTATAAAATAATATTAACAATTTTGGTTAAATTTATGATAATAATAATAATAATAAATACTGATTTTATTTTACAGTGCAATATGATTACTGCAATAGTAAGAGTTTTATTGATTTGTTTAATTGGTATATTTAAAATAAAGTAAAGAAAATATTTTGTTAATAATAATAATATGAGCTTTTATTATTATTTAAATGATAGCAAATGCTTTAAAAATGGTACAATTGCTCAATATTATATTATACTCAGTTAGTATAAAAGTCAGTATTTTAATTCTATTTTGAATAATTATAATCATAATAATAATAAATACTGAATTTTTATTTTTATATTACAATAGTAGTATTGCAATTATAACATTGTTATGTTATTATCATTCTATAATTATAAAATAAAATTCCTATTTTGGTTAATACTATTAATAAACACTTACAAAAAACCCTGCAGGAATTCTATGAAGGAAACTAGTATATGCAGGAATGACATGCCTACAGGTTTATTTAAAACATACATTTCCTGCAGGATTATTGTGCAGATGAAGTTATGTAGGAGTCTGCAAGTTGTGTTCTGAGGGATACATGCAGGAGAAATAACTTCACAATGAAACAATGTATTTTCACAAATTATTTAATTTATTGAAACTGTCAGAACAGTGAATCAGAGTCCAATTCACAGCTGGAGCCAGAGGGTGGCATCTATTCATTTTGCCAATAAATGTTCTCTGTTTCTTACTTATTTGGTTCCATTTTATTTTACAGTGCAATATGATTACTGCAATAGTAAGAGTTTTATTGATTTGTTTAATTGGTATATTTAAAATAAAGTAAAAAAAATAATAATATGAGCTTTTATTATTATTTAAATGATAGCAAATGCTTTAAAAATGGTACAATTGCTCAATATTATATTATACTCAGTTAGTATAAAAGTCAGTATTTTAATTCTATTTTGAATAATTATAATCATAATAATAATAAATACTGAATTTTTATTTTTATATTACAATAGTAGTATTGCAATTATAACATTGTTATGTTATTATCATTCTATAATTATAAAATATAATTCCTATTTTGGTTA